TGTGAGCTCCTGGGGGCTGGTGTGTGTACGTAATGTGTGCATGTGTGTGTGTGTGAGCTCCTGGGGGCTGGTGTGTGTGCATGTGTGTGTGTGTGAGCTCCTGCAGCCTGGTGTGTGTACGTATGTGTGCATGTGTGTGTGTGAGCTCCTGCGGGCTGGTGTGTGTGCATGTGTGTGTGTCTGTGTGAGCTCCTGGGGGCTGGTGTGTGTGCATGTGTGTGTGTCTGTGTGAGCTCCTGCAGCCTGGTGTGTGTACGTGTGTGTGCATGTGTGTGTGTGAGCTCCTGGGGGCTGGTGTGTGTGCAGGTGTGTGTGTGAGCTGCTGGGGCTGGTATGTATATGTACGTGTGCATGTGTGTGTCTGTGTGAGCTCCTGGGGGCTGGTGTGTGTACGTATGTGTGCGTGTGTGTGTGTGAGCTCCTGCGGGCTGGTGTGTGTGCATGTGTGTGTGTCTGTGTGAGCTCCTGCAGCCTGGTGTGTGTACGTGTGTGTGCATGTGTGTGTGTGTGACCTCCTGGGGGCTGGTGTGTGTGCAGGTGTGTGTGTGAGCTGCTGGGGCTGGTGTGTATATGTACGTGTGCATGTGTGTGTCTGTGTGAGCTCCTGGGGGCTGGTGTGTGTACGTATGTGTGCATGTGTGTGTGTGAGCTCCTGCGGGCTGGTGTGTGTCTTCTCTGGGTCCCGTGTCCAGCAGAGGCGCAGCCTCTGGAAGGTGGTGGAAGGCATGGCTGAACACAGGAACGTGTGGACTGAGGAGCTGGCCTGGGACCGGCGCCTGGTGGGCTCTGGTGTGAGGGGGTGGGGCGGTGGCCCCTGGCCCGGAGCAGCTGGCGGCTGCGTGGCGCGGCACCAAGGCCCTAATTTCTTCGCCACAGCAGCCACCACTTTTCTCATGAGCTCCTGATTCACAGGCAACAACAAACACCTCCCGGACGCCCTCTGTGACTCTGCCCAGAGGACAGAGACAGGTAATTACCGCCTCGGAGTGCGCAGGCTCCACAGCACCCAGACACAAGGGCACGGGGGGGTACAGGGTGGTTGGTGCAGGTTAGCTGGGGCCAGCCCCTCAACGGCACCCCGCACTCACACATGGCCAGCAGGAGCAAGGCCCACCGTGCACATCACCCCTGCATGCTCCCCTGGAACAAGCCACGTTCATGAGGGGACCCCCCTGCCCCAGTTGCTTCCCGATGCCTGCCGTCCTCCTCCCATGATCCCAAGCAGGGCCGGTGACTTCTGTCCCCACTCCCATGGATGCCCCTCAGTCTGCTTCCCTGGCCCCTCCAGGCACGGGCCTCTGAAGGTCTTGCCTCTGTCTGCGGATCCCTTGATGAGCCCTCATAAGCACTGCCCAAGGCTGGCTGAGTCCACGCCTCAGGAATACGCCCTGATGTGGGAATGCATGAGAATCCCCCAAACAGGTCTGTGTGGGTGGGTGCTACCACCACCACCCCTCATACCCAGAAGTGTCCCAATTCCCCCCTGGCTTTGAGGCCCAGCTCTGTACTGCCCCCTCTCTGAATTCAGTGACTGCATGGTCTGATTCTCCACTTCCACGTCCTTGGCACTCTTGGTACTGCTGTACTACTCTGATAGTGCACAGGTCCATGCAATTCTGAACCTGGAGAGATTCCCTTTACTGCAGGTTTCTGTACCAAACGCCACCTTTGCCAGTTACTCAGGAGTGACCTCTTCTCGTGTGGGCAGAGGGAGTAGTTTGGAAGGCCACCAGCTGTTGGTGGGAAGAGAACAACTTTTTGTTGAGTGTTCTAAGCTGGAAACTAGATGTCTGTCAGGCTGGGCCACGTTTACACCACGTGGCCTCTCTAGCTGCTGGAAACTACTACAAAGGTTGGGGTGGGGGGGCCAAGACCATCTTGCCACCGTTGTCACTGTGGGGATGGGGAGCCCACTTGTACCAGGTACTTGGCCAATGGCACAAATTCAGACTCTGACAGAAATCTAAGAGCTTAATGGTCCGTTTTCAGCCACATCTGCAAAATTTTGCAAAGCAGACTTCAGACCAATGACTCGAGGGAAACTGGGTCATAGAGTCACTTATACACTCTTGTAACAGTTCCCCAGGTAATTAGGCCAGGATCGCTGCCTCCCGGTGCTGCTGTTGTCCCCGGCAGGTGTGTGCGGGGGCAGGAAAATCGGGGGACAGCTGCACTCTTCCTGACCTCCCTGGCCCATGGGCCACTGGCAGCATGTGTGGACTGCATTTACGGAAATCTCCCCACTTGAATGAGCTAATTCACACTACAGCAAGAGTGGCCAACAGCTCCTTCTCCCTCCTGGAAAGTCCTGGCATCTTAAAGCAGAGGTGGGTGACCCCCTCTCATCTACATCCCTCTCCTGAGAGAGAAAGGTGTGTGGTGGCTAAGGCAGGGGCTGGAGGGGGCCCTTCAATTGGTGGGCTGGATCCCTAAATCTCCTCCAACGCATTCCTTGGGCTATAGGTCTAGTGACAAAACAGCACCTGTTGAGCACCAACTGTGTGCTGAGCTCTGTACACCAGGTGCAGGCCTGGGGGGCTTCCCGGGGCCCTTCTGGCTCTGTGTGTCAGGGTTGCCCCAGGTCTCCCTGTTCTTGTCTTGTCCCCACTTGAGCTCTGGGCTGGTCCACCTGGCCTGTGGGGTTAGGGAAGGCCCAGGGAGGAGGTAGCCCAGCAGATGGAGGGGCAGCTGGGGGAGGCAGGACGACGTCTCCCAGGTGGGGGTGAGAGGACCAGAGGTCACTCCACCGCAGCAGATTCATGCTCACGGGCAGGCTGCAAAGCCACTCGCTGTCCAAATGGGACCCACTCCTGGGTGTCCACAGTGCCACCTGGGAGAGGCCACAATCCCAGCGCCGCGCCACCCCCTCAGCTGCCGGTGCTACGCGCAGTGCGTTTCCAAAAGCCCCCCCGCTCCCCCACCAGTAAGCACGACATTGCATTTACTGAGGAGGAAACTGAGGCACCCAGTGGGTCCCCCTTGTGCCTGAGGCCCGTCCTGCAGGAGGCGGGTCAGATCCGAGGCTGGGGGTCTGCGCTGGCCGCGCAGGGGCCAACCCCACCCTGCCCTCGCTCTTCTCTCAGCCTCAGCTTCCTGGGTGAGAGATGGGGACTGGAGCACCCGCTAGCGCTTCCCACCCGCTCCCCTAACAACCAGACAACCCCAGGGCACAACCCCGTGCAGGATGAGGTGGGGCGCCTTTCCACCCAGGAGCAGGTCCCATCCTGGGGGAGGGTGTTATGCAGAAATCCAACAGCAGCTAAAGAGAGCCACTCACCCACGTCCATGGAGCACCTGCGACAAGAGCACGAGCCTAGAAAAGCCCAGGGGGTCTGCCCACCACCCCCGCAGCCAGTGGATGGGGGCTCCCCCTACCCCTCCCACCCCGGCAACTCTGCAGGAGATGGGGAGGCTGAGAAGTTTTCTCCGCAATGCTGGGGGGTGGGGGTGGGATCAGGGGCTCTGATGCTCCCACCTCAGGGCCTTTGCACCTGTTGTTCTTCCTACAGCTCCCTTCCCTGAACTTTGTCCCACTAGCTCCCAACCCAGTGTCTTCCCAGACGGGTTTTCCTGGGACTGCTCATGTACACCAGTCACTCCTGTGGTCAAAACCCCACTCAGTGCACTATGACGAGTGCATTCATTTATGGTACATTATACATAATGGAAATTATGCGTATTTAAATAATACACAAATTAAAGTTGACTTTTAGAACTTCATTTTGAAATACTTTTAGATTTACAGAAGAGTCACACAGGTGGGACAAAGGGCTCCCACACACACTTGACCAGCTTACCCTAACATCAACCACGATGCATTCATCAAAGCTGAGTGATCCGCTCGGTGCAAGACCATCAACCAAACTACAGGCTTTATTGGGATGTCACCAGTACTTCCACTAAAGTCGTTTTTCTGTCCCAGGATCCAATCTGGGATATCATGTTGCATTGAGATTAAAGTCAATTTTTAAAAAGAGAAAAATATGTCTTAACTTGAATTAAAACTATGGGGAGGGCTGGCCCCATGGCTTAGCAGTTAAGTGCGCGCGCTCCACTGCTGGCGGCCTGGGTTCGGATCCCGGGCGCGCACCGACGCACCACTTCTCTGGCCATGCTGAGGCCGCGTCCCACATACAGCAACTAGAAGGATGTGCAACTATGACATACAACTATTTACTGGGGCTTTGGGGAAAAAAAGGAGGAGGATTGGCAATAGATGTTAGCTCAGAGCCGGTCT